GTACTGTTACAATGCCTACCTTTCTATCAAGCAAGGGGAAGTTTTCTAAGAAGGGAATAGATAGTAGCAAGCAGGTACATAATTTAAGCGTTCACGTAGAGAGGGCCATTAGAAAGGTTAAGGAACTTCACTTTTTTGATAGCATAATTCCCCTTACTGTAGCAGGAAGTATTAACCAAATGTGGACAGTAGCTTGTCTAATAACTAATTTTCAAGGACCCTTATTTTATAACCAATCATAAACAATCAGTGATTTTAAAGTTCAAAATAAGATTTATTGGGATACTTTCACACTGTCAGCAAGAGCAAAAGAGGTTGTTCTCTTTGTTAGATACCCATATATGATTGAAGTATAATACAATTTTCTGTTTAACCCAGCCTAACTCCTGCTTCATGTAGTTGACATAATGTTAGGGAAAGCAGCTAATCAATTCACTTGGTTTTTGTTGCCTTTAAACATTACAATATAATAAAATGTTAAATTATAAAAGCTTTTGCTTTCTTGTGTTGTTATATTCAACAGGTTGCCCAACTGAACCAGCATATGTCAATTGCAAAATAAATATTTTTGTAATAAAGTACTTTTTTATTGGATACATAATGGAAAGTGATCGTTAAAATAATAAAGGTGCAGTTTTTCTTGCATTTCTGAAAAAACCTGTCTGTCAAAGTAAATTCTCTCGCAATGAAATTCTTGTCGGCAATACACAAAACTGCAATCATTTCTCACTATTTCAACTGTCGGTTTCAACGAGCGGTTAAAAACAACTGACAATTCTTTATTTTCAACCACGTGACGAAAATTCGCTACGTCATACGCGGCCGCCATGTTGGGGGATAACTAAGCTTTCAAAATGGCTTCTTCCGAAGGCGTGCTCAGTGTGAACCTTCAGTATTTGGATTACTTTGTGGGTCTAGAGGGTCCAACGAAGTCAAGGTACCACGAAATATAACTGTTTAAGGCTTCGACCGATATGCGTTGAGAAAAAGTGATTTCTCCGAAAACGTCGAGCTCCTTCCGAACGGTCAATATCCAGACATTGTGAACTACTTACAAAAACCCAAATGAAGTTGTTGTGCATGCCAGAGTTAGTCACGGTAGTGTATTTTTTTTTTCTGATGACATCGGAGAGAAGTAAACAGAGCAAAATAAAGGACTCATTTTTTATCGACCGCGGCTCACAACTCTTGTTTTGCTAGGTAATTTGGTTATTTTAACTAAGTTGAAATTGTAAATTGGCCATCGTAGAGTTAAAAGCTGACGTTTCGAGCGTTAGCCCTTTGCCAGAGCGATCTTTTTTATCTTGACACGACAGCTGCAAGTTCAGAAGACATATCACTCATAGGACTCACATTAGCGAGTGATATGGCATATTTCAGGGATCTAAATTTTTGGATTTAGAATTAAGACTTTTTATGTACCCTCACTTGGTGAATCGCTCACTGAGCCCGGGACATCCCACTTTGAACATGGTTTCTGGCAGAAAAATGTGGAACTGTAATTGCTTCCTATTGCTATTGCATAGCAGAGTTATGTGAAGGGTGGTCTCGCGTTGGGGCAGAGCTTTTTGCTGTGGAGGCTGGTGTTAGAATTAGAGATTCTACCACATGCACACAGGAAAAGAACAAATGGCTTCTCTCCAGTCGTGTGAAAGAAATCCCCCATTACCTATAAGTGAGATGGATTTTACCTCTGCCTGAAAGAAGCATTAATTGATGGTGGAGAAACAGGTTACTCCTATGCCTAGTAGATCTAACCCTGGGATCCAACCAACCAGGACACCCGCCCCAACTCAAGAAGAGCATAAAGCTATTTTTAGAAGTATTTCTGGCTGTACAGTAAAACCAGCAGCCTTGTCCCTTGTTGCACCTTTAAATGCTTATATGAGCAGTATACTTGTAAAGAAATTGATAATGTACCCAAGCCCTTGCCCAATAGCTTTGCTTTTTTAGAGGAGTGTTTGCAGTTAGACTACGTAGAGTTGTTGCAGCAGTGTCAACAAATATTGCTGGAGATTACACCTGATGATTGTCAAGCAGAAGCTTCAACCAGAAAGCAGTCACAAAATAAAGTTTGGTACCAAATGGCAGGCAGGCAGGCCAGGTCATATTACTGCTTCCAATCTAAAAACTGCTTGCAAAACAAATACAGCTAAGCCTGCTAAGAGTCTTGTCAAGTCCATATGCTACCCTGAAGCCCATAAGTTTTCAACTGCAGCCACATCATGGGGTTGTGAAAATGAGGGTAAGGCTCGCAAAGCTTACCAGATAGATATGAATCAATTCCATGAGTCTTTGACAATTTCTGACATTGATCCAAGGTGGCCATACTTAGGAGCTTCTCCTGATGGGATTATTGACTGCAAATACTGTGGGATGGGTGTGTGTGAAATAAAATAATAATAATAATAATAATCGACTTTATTTAAAGAGCGTATACATATAACAGCTTGTGCTGATAAACCAGTGGCCCTCAAAACTAAAGTTAGTAATACATTCTAAGCCATAGAGATTAAAAATAGAACTAACTAGTCGAACAATGTAACTATTCAAAGATTATAAATGTCTATATGTGCACAAGGATTCCACAATCACTGAGGCTGCTGGCCAAAACAACTTTTGTTTAAAGAAAGATGAGTTTGGTAAAGTTCATCTTGACAAAAGTCATGCCTACTACCAAGTTCAGGCCCAGATCTTTATCTGTGAGGTTGAATATTGT